ATATATATATATATATATATATTTCAAATTCTTCATGTTTTATTCTATACTTTTTTCTGAACTAGATGATTTTTTTACGATAAGTTAAATATACAATACATAAATATACAACGCGAATGCTAATTTTTCCATTTAAAAATAAATATATTTATTGAATTTTCTTGATTTGTTGTTATTACTATCCATTAGCTTTTCTTAAATGCCAAATTTTAAAAGAAGATTAAATAAAATCTTATAAGATTCGAAGAAGGTACACATTTATGTAATCATAAATGTATATCACAGAAACATTTGAATATACAATAATTTATATTCGATTCATATTAGATCGACGTTCTCATGTCGGTTAGATACGGTCGTAAAAGTAAAATGACGCGTTCAAAGAAATTTAAGTAAATTTGATTTTATTTTGATCGAGTTTGTTTGCCGTTAGGTCACATAATATTTGATTATTTTGTTTCAAAGAAAAAACAAACAAATCTTGAAAATAGCAAGTTATTACTAAATGTAAAAAATAAGGATTATGTATAATAAATTATCATTTAATTAATAAATATTTATTAAATATCTATTGTTCAATAATAATTATTAATCAATATTATTAAACAATATTATAATAAACTATTATTAAATTTACAATATTAATACTTGTTATGAATCTCTGTGAAGTAATAAATTACCAAAAATTTTTTTAACATTTTTTAATAAAAATTAGTTTTGCCCTTTTTTTGTATCTTTTTTCTGCTTTTTATATACAAAATTATGACAGAGGGCTTTGCGCTGCGTTTCGCAATTAAGTTTTTGTTATTCATTAACAAAATTTCTACAGATACCTGCAATGAAAATTGGTATGGGATTTTTAATATTGTTATTAAATTGCGGCCTATTGCTTTTTGGTGCGGCAGATGAAGTGGAGGATTTAAATTACGCTAAAGATTGGCGGGGCTATGACGACTACTTGAGACTAATGTATAAAATTCGTTTACCGGACTTTATATATCCGGTACACTATATAATCCAATTAGACCTACATAATACTACGGGCGGATATATTTCTACTGAAGGCCGATGCGAAATTCATATCCAAATTAATATTCCAACAAACTATTTATATTTACACTCGAATACATCAATTCATTCTTTAGAATTGAAAACTTTACGTAAAGAACAAGAAGAGAAAAATGTTCTGACGTTTCATCCAAAACTCTCTCGATACAATCTTGGATATGATATGTATAGTTATTTTTTTAATAAAACAATACCACCTGATTCTTACAGCCTAACTTTGAAATTCAAGCACGAAGGAGAGAATGAAGGGCTTTTCAGAACATCATTTATAAATAATAAAGGAGATACAACGTGAGTAAAAATTAAAATGTTATAAGCGCATTGTTATATTCAATTGAATATTTATAATTATGTAAAATATATCGTTGAAATGTAACAGATGGTTAGTCGCATTAGATTTTCTGCCAGTTGGAGCCCGACGAATATTTCCTTGTTGGGATGAACCAAGATTTCTGGCGACTTTTGATATTTCTATAGAATATAAAAGTAATTACACGATTTTGTCGAATACGCCAACTAGAAATAAAACAAGTTCCTTACGTAAGTTTCAAGAAAGTCATTTTGAGGTAACTCCTCGAATCCCAACATATCACGTCTCAGCAATACTGCTATCGCATTTCATCACAGTGCAAGCATCGTTTTTTGGAAGTAAGAGAATTATACATTTGTAAACCCTCTTAATACATTCTTAGTGAATGATTTCTTAATGAATAATTTCTTCTTATTATCAGTTTTTAGAATATCTTTTGAAACTAATAGCGTTTTCTCTTGGCTGCACTATCGCCCACTAGTGCAACACTCAGACAGTGTACCGTATTTCCATGGCTGGTAAGCGAACTCATTCGATGTACCGTGTTTCCGTGGCTACGGTGTAGTGCAAATTTTATGCACGAAGTGGGATTTTGCTACACCGTCTCAAAGAGACCGTGTAGAACCAGTGTAACATTTAAAATTTGAAAATAAAAGTCAAGCGGGAACAGAGTTTTAGCATAATAATGATACAGTGTACACCATGATACGGTGTGCACCACTCTAGTGTAGTGTAGCAGGCACTGTAGCTGAGTGTAGCGCTTACACGCAATTGGTGCGGTGTGAGACTGCACCCAGTGTATCCCAAGAGAAAAACGCTATTAGAATATATTCTTTAATTAATTCTTTTAAATTAGTATATTCTAACTTCATGATGATCGATCTACTTGTGTTCTCGCCAAATAGTCTATATACATTTCCAACAGAATACGTTTCACTTGGTATTTGCAATAATTTCAAAGAATTATAGATAGTGCAGTGTTTAGTGTTGGTCAAATCTGACTAATTTTGATAAATAAAAAAAAATAATAAAGGGAAATAAAAAAGAAAACTTTAATAGTTGATTTAACATAGATGTTTATAAGTAAGTTTCAGAGATATATTTAATGCATGATATACGTTATATAACAGGAGCAATACAAACGCCTGGCCATGCCTTCTCATTCCTTCTCATGCCTTCTTCTTAATCTTTCTCCGATACGCGTGCAACTTCGGACGGCTATGTATTTATATTCTCGCATGTATAGTCGGAGCCTAAAAAATTGCAACATTTTTTTTTCGATGGGTTTCGGAATATAGCTTGCCCATCGAGTGATTAATTCTTATTCATCGATCGACAAATAAGAACCAGTCTCTCGGTAAGTAGACTCCATTCTTATATTGAAAAAAAATGTGTTGCAACCTTTTAGAACCTGACAAACAATTTTAAAAGTATCTCTGGAAAATAGATAGGACATATTCCTCTATTCTTGTATTCTTCGGTCCTGACATTAAGATAGCCAATGATCAAAGATGCCGACACGAAGTGTCTCAACTGGTTACACGACATGCAAAATTTTTATTATCTTCTCATCATAATCAAACAGGTTTTGATCAGACACTATAAACACTATTGTATTACCTACACTATCTATACATTAAATTAAAAACAGCAAATTAGATAAAATGGAACAAAATTTGATACTTTTTACAAAACCATTCCATACCGGATGCTACTTTTAAATGTGAATTTAGTGGTTATTAAAATCTTTGATATGATAACCTGAGCGAGATTAAAAGAACATATTTTTTAGACTAAATGTAAGAGTAAAATTCCACTTTACTCATTATCTTATAAGTTAAAAACATGTATTTTTTGGAAATATTATTTTAGAAACTGTTATAAAAATAAGTAAAAAATTCTTAAGCTAAGAATATAATTTTTCGATATTATAGCCGATATTAATTTAAACATCAGACATAGACAGCAATTAAATGCGTATTATGTCTCATTTGCACGTCATGTTATTGAGGAAATCACAGCATACTACTCATCACAAGAGCATCTTGAGAACGTGACAAATATAACTAATGTTCTAATCCCAGCTTTCCGACACGAAGCTGTGTCATATTTGGGACTCATTTATTACAGGTATTACATTTTTCTTTTAAGGAAATTATTCTTTTAAATGGAAAATGCATTTTACTAAACAATATTTCTTATATTTCACATAAAAATCTCATTTTAATTTATAAAAAAGGTTATAATATTTATTTTTTGAAATTTGTTTTTTTTATTTTAATTAATATTGCACCGAAAAACAAGCGCATATAAAAGTATCATTTAGTAGCCTAATATACAATAAAATATAATTATATAATTAAGAGCGAAACAACTAAAATTTAAACCAATTAAACAGAAGGAGTAAAACGTAACATAATTCTATTATTTCGAAATGCTTTTTAGAGAAACAGCTGTTATATTTCGTGAAGAAGAAGATTCGTTAATGCGTAAACCAGAAATTGCCCGTTTAATAGGCCGTTCAATAGCATATCAATGCTTTAGAAACCGCCGTATCAATCCATCTTGGTGGTCTTACATGTGGTTAATCGAGGGTATTACAACATTGCTCGCATTGGATGCAATTGATGAGGTTTTTTATTTAATATTATTTCTAATGACAAACAATAGCATATGTATTTAAATTAAACTCATGTAGTATAGACCTGCAAAAACTCTTTTATAATATAGTTCAGATACTATATAATTTAAAATAATTATATAATACATTTTGTAGAAACTTTACTGTATAAAGCAGATCTAATATAAAATAGTTATTTAAAAATAGCAATAATAGTGCAATACAGTAGCACTGCACGATGCATATTTTGCTATTAATATGAGCATCCGACCTAATTTTTTTTAATCATCAATTATATTAAATTTTTCACTTTTAGATTATGCCAGATTTTCGTATAAAAGACTTGTTTGTCGTTCAAACTTTACAAGAATCTCTACGTTTCGATGATTATATCAATGATAAATTCATTATGGACCCTCTTATAACAGTATTGCTAAGTCCGGATCAAATTGAGCCAAGTTTTTCTGCGTCTCATCATATGAAAGGTAAGATATTAATTAAGTCCATAAGTTTTCACACATGAATGTCGTAAAAGTATAAATTGTAGAGGAAAGTCGCCGATACTGACATAGGTCTCCTAAAGTGACACCCCCTTATTTTTCGGAAACTAACTATTGCATTTTATTAATACTAATAAAATCATGATCTGTTTAGCTAATTAAAGAAGTACAAACTCATATGTCTGTATTCATAGTCAGGCCTTATATTTAAGGCTTCCTTAAATTTATCTTTAGATGCTCAGTAGCCAATAAAATAATTCGTAGAGCATCTGAAGATAATATTTAAGGAAGCCTTAAATATAAGGTCTGACTATGAATACGGGTATTAATTCGTAGGTTTGTGACTTGTTTCTATATAAAATCAGCTAAAAACGAATTCTACAAATGCGAAAATAAAATTCGTATGATTTTCTTTTGCCAGATGTGAGGTTTAAATAATAGTGACTATATTATTGATAATATTACGTCATTTTAAATACTTGTAGTTTCCGAAATAAGTTTTATTTATATTATTTTTTCTCTTAGTCTTTTCATATGATTTTTAATTTAAAATTTGGGTGCAGCATAAACCGATACATCTGTCCGTAAAACAGACCATGAGCTAACTTAATCTTTATAATGTTGCTTTATAGTGTCAAATAAGTCTATTATAGCTGAAAGCAATCGTGCATATATGGAACAATTATAGAAAAACTATCGCGTTACATATTTGCATGTTGCAGAACAGCATAAACTAATATGCATATAATTCAATAAAAATGTTTTATGACGAAGTAAAATGATTCTGAAAAATCTTATACACATTCACTTATAGGTACTTTATACAGATAATTCCTGTAAAAGAAAAAGAATAGGAATACGTAGCATTACTACCTACTGTATCAATTTTGGAGCCCATTTTGTCAGACGCTCATTTTTGCATAACTTACGGAAAACTTAATTATTGCAAAATTGCTAACAGTATTATAAAAATTGCTTATACTATCTGATAGAAGATACTTTTTACTTTGTATTTATGTTTTTGAAGTTGTATTTTTAACTTTTGTTTAAGAAATATTATCTAAAAACAAAGTGGTATGTCGGTATCGGTGACCTTCTTCTAAGTGTTTATCTTCATTTACATATTACGTTTATATATATTATAAAAATAAAAAAAAAATAATTCGAGAGAATAAATTTATTCTTTACAAGATTATTTATCTTTACAAATATATACGTGAATTGTAATAAATACTTCAAACATATAATTATATTTTATAAACTGACTTTCCATAGCGCCATCTATACTGCGCATGTTACAACTGATACTTTCAAATGATATATTTCAGAAGGGTATAAAGACATATTTGAGTGAAGAGTAAGTAAAAACTGATATATCATTATTTGTAGAATTTGTCAAGTTTGTAGCACACCTCTTCCCTCCCCCCCACACACACACGCACGCACACGCATACCCCCAAGCACGCACGCACATTCATAGAATTTATATAAAATAATTTTAAATTAGAAATACAACATCTATTGGAGTGTTTATTGATAGTAATGTTCGAGGGGGTAACCACTTAATGTAATCGTGGGACAGAATCCTTGAAATCATTATAAAACTTTTATAAAATCTCTATGTATAATCCGATAATTACATATGCAACCACGAGAAATAATTGTATAATATTAAATAAAATCGTATATTTCACCAAATTATTTCATAGTAGTGAAAAAAATTATTTGTAATCAGATAAAATCATGTAATCTGTGGGACAACATTTCAGCTAGTGGTTACCCCCTCGGTAATGTTATTATAAATTTTACAGCCCTTCTTTAGATGATATGACAACTATTGACGCTGTCTGGACTGCTATACAACGTGCTTATAATACTTCTTATTATACGGGAAACAGCCGTATAGGATTAAGCATAAAGCAGTTAATGAATGCTTGGACAATGCAAGAGCATTATCCTGTGGTGAAAGTTACACAAAATAATTCTCACGTGACAATATTAGTAGAAAATATGAATACTAAGGAGAAAAACTGGTGGATACCTTACACCACGGCTACGAATGCAAATAAACATATACCTGATTTTTCTTTATCAACTCTGCAGAGTAATATCCACTTTTCTTTAGTGGGAGAAGAACTAAATCTCAATGTTGAAAGTAACTGGGTTATAGTTAATGTACAACAAATAGGTAAATATCAATTGAGAAATGTATTGTGCTTAAATATTTAATGTATATTGTATAATATACAGAAATCACTATGCGTTTCACTGGTTATCTCTGTGTCCAGACCCATTATTTTATTAGGATATCAATGTTTCGTGAACGTTGCAGTTCACTTCATCAGGGCGAGAATGAAATAAAATATCTTATAATATATTTATTTTTTTAAATAATTTTTATGTAATAATTTTATATGCGGTATACTTAGAAGAATTATATAATATTATTATGTTATTGAAAAATTCATGCATTTTCTAATTCCATTTACAAAATGGTAACGATTGTTAAATCTCAAAAATATAACCCTAAAGAAAATATTTGATTATCATAATATTCACCCTTACGAAACGATTAATCCCCCCCCCCCCCCGTTAATACTTTGTTGAACCATTAAAAACGAGAGATGTTCTAAATGTCCGAATTAACCGACCAAATATTAGTGGGAGCGCGTGGCACTGAGTGCCGCATCACAAATTTATTATTTAGGAGTTACAATAATTGGATGAATAATTGGACGATCGTTGTAAAAGCGAATGGAAAATATATTTATAATAAAATATAATATTAAAATTTAACTATAATACTAAAATTTTGTGTCAACTTTCTTATAAAATTAAAAGTCTGGTTATATGTAAGTAGAAAATTAAAAATAAGAAAAAAATTGAGAGATTTACTAAAAAATAAAGACATACTAATTTACAATCAAACATAAGAAAATAATAACAGTGCTCTCTCTCTCTCTCTCTCTCTCTCTCTC